GAATCCTCATTCAGCCAATAATTATTCTTCTTCCCACCCCGTGGTACACCTCCTCTCGTCCACTCCCCGCCCTGTGTGTGATTTTCACGCCAAGTTTGCAGTGTTGTGTGATTTTTAGCACATTGAAAACGTTTTATACTCATCATTCAGCCATTACATTATTTACACAATTCCATTTCCACACCATAATATTGAAACCTTTTGTCATTGAATTTGCTATATTATGTTTATAACGACTGCAAAACGATTTGAAATGTTTATACGCAGACATGAATACAATAATCTATGTAACTGGTTGTGTGTGGTTTTGAGTCACATATCTATATCGCGGCAGTGGGGCCTTGTTTTTTTATGGATTTTATGCCAGGTCTCACTGGCAGCCTGCATACAACTAAGGAAGAATATGAAAACTATGCAGATACATAGAGGTAGAGACCAACTTCTTGTGACATGTGGATGACAATGACAACTGATACATGATTCATTTCTTGTGAGCAGACACTTCATGAATGTGTAAAGAAATCAGAACGTGGTTAGTCTAAGATTAATTTAGCATTTTAAGGTTGGAAAAACGGGAAAAAAAAGCTGGAAAAGTTTGGTGCTGATTCAGTGTCACTGGAAAGCTAAAGAAATGATTCTAAAAATCCAGTTAGTAAAGCTACCCCTGTTCTTGAGTCTTGCTGGTGCGCCACGTCATAAATATTATTGATAGTTTTTATAGACCTCTATGGTATGTTGAGCCTCACCTCAGTCCAACATTGTGCCCTTGGGAAAGGCATTTTACATGAATTTCCTATTTTTGGCTCTGTCCTTTTGGAGATGAATATTCAATTTGGAGGTCCTGCCTCTCAAATTAAGCTGCTTACCTACTAGAAGTGTTGATAGGGGCATTAAACCCTTACTATTTAACCATTTTTTAAAAAGATATGATGATCTAATATCATAGTGCAATATTAATTAATATATATGTTAGAAAGTAAAATTGACTCTGTGAGAGCCCTATCTGTCCTCTTGTATTTCAGTACGACAATTTTTGAAATTATATGAATTTTACTTGAAATGTAAGCCTATTTCTTCCTGAGCTTGTGCGATGCATTTTTGAATGCTTTCATTTACAAAAGCTTTTGTTTTTAAATTTAATACATTTCTGAACTTTCATTATGCAGGTGTTCATATGGGAACCGAACGTACCTTAAACGCTTTGTCCTCCAAGTATTACTGGGTGGGCATGGCCAGTACAGTGCGGAAAGTCCTCAAGAACTGTGTTGTTTGCCTGGCAAATCGTCCTGCAGTGTCAAATTTTCAACAGAGCCACTTCAGCGAAGTTGTACCGGCTGTTGAACCGGAAATCCCCACAACGAGCTGTGGAAGTGCTACTGGTGGGGAGAAAAAAGAGCTACAGGATAAGCTGGCACCAGTCACAGCTAAACAAGAGGATGTTTCGACGGAGATGCAGTATATTGTGACTGCTGAGTTACACGAACCAGAAACAGTTGACTCTGACCTTGATTTTGACCCAAGCTCTGTTGTCACCGATTCCGTGTTTGATCCCAGAGTGGATTTTGACGTAGCTCGGAGGTTTTGGCAAAAGGTTTGTGGACACTAGCCTTATGTACCTTGTGTTGGATAGATGTGTTCCCATCGTAGCTAAAACAGTTACTCCTGTAATTATAGAAATTGCCACTGTACTGTAAGTCACAGAGAGAGAGAAAAAAATCAGTCTTCTGAAGCCCACAAATCTGTTTAAAAAACTAATTGCTTGTGTGGAAATTCTGTGATATTTCATTGTTTCTTTTTTTTTTTTTTTTTAAAGATAATTTTGATTTGAGTGTGTTTCAGACTCAGCAAATAATCGTTTCTTCTAAAGTACACAGAAGTACAGAATATTAGAGTAGAAAAAAAATGTAATTTTAAAAAAAATTGAGAAATTAGAATTTATGTCTTACTCGTGTCTTAAAATAGAGCAAATTGAATAAGGATACCCTGGTGTTTTCTATGGTATTCTGTGTAAATAAAATGTGTTTGAATTTCACATTTCCTTTTTGTGCAGGCTTTTGTTTCTTCTTTTCTTATTGCTTTTATATTTTTCTTTGACACTTATGATTTTTTCCAAATTGATCTGTTGGGACTTTTGTGGCTATTGAGAGATTTTGCCATTCCTGCTCTTTGGTGATTGGCATTGAAGCCTATTTCTTATAGTTCTTTCCTTGCTTGTTTTTTTTTTCTAGGTTGAGGTGCAAATCATAGGCCCACTACAGTATAAAAAGAGGAAAAAAACTTATGTGGCTGCTGCTCTTGACGGTTTCTCAAAGTGGCCAGAGGTTCACGTTCTTGAGAAGCTCAACGAGAAATACGTTTCACAGTTTCTGCTAAGACTCATCGCAAGGTGGGTTGGTAAACTGAAAGTCATTGCAATATAACATTAATTGTACATAGAAATACCTAGCCTGATTATTCTCTTTTAGAGCATGACTCTTCAGCCAGGCCCTAAAAAGTGTTTTAAGTTATTGAAATTTGTGTCAAGTATGTGCTCAGAAACGCTCTTGATCTGTTTTAAAACTATACTTGAAGTGAATATTATGTGTTTGACTGGAGTGTGTTCAGACTCCATCTATACTTCTTAAGTTGGAGAAAAAAACTGAGCGTTCTGAAATATTCAAATCGATATGATTGTCTGTTTTGTGTTTGTCTCCCTGTGGCACAGGTATGGTGTGATGGAAGAAGTGATTTTGCTGGCCAATGACTTACTTCAGGATCAGAGCCTGGACAGTGGTGGCATTGCTCAGAACTTGCAGCACTACGCTGTGGCAGTTAGTCTAGAGAAGTACAACCCTGTAGGTAGGTTGTTTTGCTGTTTGGTTTTGTCTGAGTTAAACTACGTATGAGAGAATAAATGACTTTAAAGTATGAAGGACTGGCATCTATGGTGTTGCGGTTGGGCGTTTTACAGTCGCATGCAGAAGACCTGAGTTTGATTTTGTGTAGTAGGGAGAATTTTTATTGAGGATCTTGATCTTTCTGGTGAGACGAATATCCATTTCAGCCTGGATTGGCTCAGACAGTGAGGGTCAAAGTCCACCTTCTAAATGATCTCAGTTGTATTGATGTTAGTGTTAAAACGTCTACATTTCATAAAAAACAAAGTGGGAGGTTAGTGCTGGGAAAGCATGCCAGACTGACAGAAGCAACAGAGGGAAGAAAAATGCAGAACATTCCAGTGGCACTTTCATACCACCTAGTTAGTTGGTACCTCAAATGATACTGTACTTAAATTATATTGAGATGGAGAATAAATCATTTGAAAGATCTATGTCTCCTACTCTGGGCTTTTGGGCTGAGGAAAGATATTCTGAATAAAGAAAGGGTTTTGCTAAACTCCAACCTCAACTGTCTCTGTGTTTAGCAGGTTTGGTATGAAATGTGCCATAGCAACCACTCAGCTAATAAAGATGTCAATGGACTTGTGAGTATTTAACAAAGAAATATTATTGTAGAAGAGCATCTCAATCCTTTATCAGTTTTTGTAAATTTATTCATAATATGTCAGTGGATTTTGTGAGCTTTGTAGAATTTCATAGGGAAATTGAAGAAGAAGAGAAGCTCAATTGCTTTTCAGTTTGCACAGAGATATGATTAATGAAGAAGAATGACTACAGTCTTTTCTTCATTTGCATTAGGAAATTAATGAGAAAAAATAAATACAAATTTTCTTTCCATTTAGATGAGCACTGGAGCCATTTGCTACAGTTAGTGCAGAGTTTCTCAGAGCAGTACACAGACTCTTGGCACACCTGTCTGGACCTCTGCCTCATCCCAGCCCGCAACTCGCTCACAGCTGCTTCAGACTTTAGCCCGGCTTACCTGTTGATGAACAGGTGTGTGTGTGTGTGTGTAAGGGTGCATGTACAGTCATGTAAAAGGTTGAAAGTTTCACTGCTTTGCCATTTTTTAAAGCTGTATGCATGAGATATTGTAAGCATTCTTGCTGAAAAGTTTGTTATCTTGAAAGGGATGTTGTAGTTGCACATGCACTTTATAATTTTGAAGTGGGCCAATAGTGAGCTGAGGAATTTGCACTCAGTATTACACTAATTTTCAGTAATTGCTGAAAACAGGTCTCTTTTATTGGGAGTTCTTTCCTCAGAAAAAGAGCTATCAAAATAGGTTCATTTGTTTGATTTGATGACCAGTCGAGAGACGTATATGTCTACTTCAAGTTTTGTACTAAAACAGGGCCCTGGCATAGTGGGAAAGCCCCCTCTGGAGATAAAAAGTTAAAATATTAAGAATGCTGTGAAATAAGGTGTTCACTTAGCAGCATCAATGTGATTAAAAATTTTTCCTAATTATTTACAGTACTGAAATCTGTGAACGTGGAATTAAATCAGTCATGAAATAATACTTAAAAAGCTGAAGCTAATTCACCCAAATTTTTTGTCTTCCAGAGAACCATCATTTCCTGCTTCTATCCTCCCTCCAAAAGACTCAAGTAATGGAGAAATCTCCTTGACCACTGCACAGACAGAGCAGTGTGTGGAAGCGGCTATGTCTGACTACCTCCAGTGCTGTGTCCCTGATATCAAGCAGGTCATTACCCTGGCCAGTGTCAATGATCTTAGCGAGAGTGTCCCACAGCGGAGATCAGGTCGTAAGCCGAAGAAATCTCACAGAACGGCGGGCGGAGGCAGTGAGGACAATGGAGCTCTGTCGGAGGATGGGGCACATGAGGGTTGTAACTCTGGTAAGTAAATTAAGATTTCTCAGAATCTTTGTCTTAAGGAAGGTGAGGTACTCTGTGTGTCCTCTGTATACCCATTTTTGTCTCTTGCAATGAGATGCTCTTTGTGCTCATTGGGTATCTGATCTGGTCTCTTTTAATTTGACAGACAGAAACAAGTGAGTAAAACATTGTACTGCTAGCTGATTGAAAGATGCATTTAAGTATAGATCCCATTACATGATAAAGAGTATTCTTCCAAGACTTGATGTTTTTAGGTTTCCAGGAATATGGCTTTACAAGTCAATTTTAAACATAGGCCAGGAAAGATTGTTTGATAATTTTGAATAGATATTTCAACTCTTTGACCTCAAGACAGCTGAAAAATGTTCTGTAAGTGTTAAGTCTGTAATGTTTTTGACGTGAAGGAGACAATAGCATTGATCATGAGATTTGTTCTATCTATAATTTTTTATTTTTTTTTATTTTTTGCAGTGCGTGGTCCAAAACGAAAATCATGGCTTTCAGTTTCGAATCCCAGAGTAGGTCAGCCAGCAGCAAGGAATGAGAAAACTGCGACCTTAGAGAATGTTAAAGAAAGCAGTGATCTGGACAAGAATGCTTTTAGCGAGGATGATATTGAAGTTGAGGTAAGTTGTCCTTTTGCTCATTGTGCTCGACATTTGATGAGCTTTTTTGTTTGTATCACGGGGGAGGAGACTATGGTGTGAATGACCTTGGGTTTGGTTCACATTGTTTCGTTTTTGTGGGTTGTTTGGGAAGTTTTCAAGGCTCTTGGTCTACTTACCCAGGTAGTTATCTCTCACTGGTGATGCCTATCTCTTTAAGGTGAGCATTTAATAATTCAGGTTGAAGCCAACATCCCATCCCTAAAACTTAGGAAGAAAAAATTGCATTTCACAGTCAAACAAAGCTCATCACCCATAAACTCAGCCCACATTTGAACATTGTGCTCATGTACATCAGTGCACAAACCATGTCATTTTCGCAATGAAGTTTTCCTTTTGGAGTGCTAGGCAGATTAATTTAATTGGGTTTTATGTTAATGTTCAAACCCCAAAATTCTTGATCTCATATAAGCTTTTGAATTATGGTGGTTTTTGTGTTTTGATTTGCTGTAAATTATAACTCAGCATGACTCTTTTGATTTATTTTGTCGCTGGCAATTCTGTCATCTCAGGAATTACTCCACAATTTCTATTTTTCTCTTTTTTCTATACAATATAACTTCCCTTAACATGAAGTCTGCATGAGGGGTTGGTGGGGTGCTCTGGTGTCGTTTGCTCCTTCTTTCATTTCAAACATCCATCGTCCATATCTCTCCACCTTTTCTTCTTTTACTTGTATGTTGCTGTCTAGTAACACCTCTAATATTCAGCACTTGTATGACCTACTTGTGTTTGCAAGTTCCCAAGAACTCTTCCAAAAACTAAGATCAGCCTGCTCAACGCAAACAAATTTTATGGTCCTGGAAAGCTTGTGCTATAAAGGTTTTACTGTATTGTTCAGATGGAGCTAGATACCTACTACTCTGCCATCTGGTTGTACAAGGCGACTGCCCAGTACCCGCCCAACAGCCACAACACCTTCAAGCGCTCAATGCGCAAGGTCTGCGAGCACCACGTGCTGGAGGAGGGCGAGCTCTTCTATGTGTTCCGCGGCAAGCAGCTCAAGGTGGTCACCACCATGGAGGACCGGCTGGCCCTGCTGGCGGATGCTCATGTTGTTGATGGTGAGTGCTGGTCTCATACTTACTTACTGACTCTCTTCCTGTACCATCAGGTAAAAAAGGCAAAGAACAGTCGGGGCCAAGTTTGTCTGTGCTTCTATAACTTCCAATATGTTTTTAAAAAAATGGGTACACATGTGTTTCTTTGTATTTGTCCACAGTAAATTATTATGCTGTGATATTACAAGGGCTCACTTCTTTTAATAAAAATTTTTTTGTGACCCAGTGTATGGGAAATATATTCTCAAAATGAGGCATAAAAATGAAAGTTCGGGATTTTAAGAAAATGTCAAATGAAAATACAAAGACAGTAATATTTGTGTTGGTCGTAATGTCTATCAAATGCCCGGTATTCAGCTCTTGACTCTGTTTTGGAAATTTTCAGATTTTTAACATCAGTGAAACAGAAGTGTTTGAAAATTAAAAGTTGTATCAACGTGTCGTGGGGTATCAGCTCAAGTATAGTAATTCAGGGTTTTGGTGAAAATCACTTATTTACACTAGGTACCACAAACCCAAATTTCAAAGTGCTTTGATCAAACTTATGTTTGTTGCATCATAAAGAACTATACAAACCATGAACTTTGGTGTTTGAATTATAGAAATCGGACAATAAATAAAAAAAATGACAGGCGTTTGAAATTTGTGGACGCCGTAAATTTTTGGCAACTTTAAAATCATGTTAAAAAGTGCGATTTTGTGAGTTCACAGAAAATATATTCAGGTACATAAAGTGTGTATTATCATTTGTTTCAACAGGTGCCAGTATAAACTATGCAAAATACCAAGAAGAGGACAATCAGAGTTTAGATTAAGCCAATACAGAGACTTAAAATTGGAAAAAAATTACTCCTCGATGCATAATGTTAATTCAAAAATGCTAAAAAGACTGATTTCAGACATCAATAAAATGGAAAGTTATTGCTGAAAAGACATGAAACTTACAAAACATGTTCATAGTAGTGCAAATTCATAGCCCAATTTTTTTCA